TCTGAATCATGTTCCAGTTGTTTGGCCCTGCCACTTGGGTCCAGCACACATTTTGAGCATAACTATGAAATCTTTTTTTCCAGATCAGTATAATAAAGGAGTCATGTGCAATATTTTCTGTGTGATGTGTAATCTCTTGTCTGAGGAAATCAGTTTGAACAGTCGACTTGAAATGTCTCATTACCCAAGCCCTTATATGACAGATTAAGAGCTCCAGGACACCCAGTTATGATTTTACACAGGCTGGTCCAAAATCATGTGTCTTCTTAGGTTTTCCACCTCAGGCTGGGGAGCTGAGGGTGGGGGTGAGTGGGTCTTCCTGGCTGAGCTCTCTGTTCCTGTTGTCTCTATAGCTCTTGCTCAGTGGTGCTAGTTACCAGATACTCCTTGACTGGAAAGTCAGATTCTGAAACTACTGTGCCCTTTTTAAGGTAAAGGCTTGACCAGATTTTAAAAAGCCAATCCTTTTCTGTCAGTAACTTGCTGGCTCGTTTTGCACCTTTGTGGCCCCAGAATTTTTTTAAACAGATTATATTTATTTTCAGAGGGCAGGGAGAGGGAGAAAAAGAAACATCAATGTGTGAGAGAAACATTGATTGGTTGCCTCTCACAACCCCAAGTAGGGACCTGGCCAGCAACCCAGGCACGTGCCCTGCCTGGAACCAGGACCTTTCGGTTCTCAGGCCTACACTCTACCCACTGAGCCACATCAGCCAGGACCACCCTGGAGGTTTTAATCCTGTCAACTTCCTTAAAAATCACCTATAATCTCATACAATGACTTGATGCAGCAGAATAATTAAATCATATACACAACTGGGGAGGGGCACTGCTCACGTTTACCTTCTCTCAGGCCTTTGGAAAGGTTGCTGGAATGTAAGACAGTCCATAAGGACTTTCTCTTCTACCAGGAAGAAGTAACACCTGTTAAGCTAGAATGAAGTTCCCCTGTACCAGCTACTGGGTGAGGCACATAACATACCAATTCTGTAACACAACCTCGTAAAGATCTGGTTTCCCCAGTTTACAGAAAACAGGCTGAAAGAGATGCAGAAACTTGCTGGAAGGTATACTACTAAATACTTAAACCAGGTGAAAGATGTTAGTTCAACTAAATCAAGGTCCTTATTCTAAAATTTAAATACTTTCAAGCACCTTGCCTGATAGGCTCAGTTTATTTGATCTACATAGTAACCCCAGGAAGACCTTGAGTAATTTAAGTCTCCAACAGCCTGATAGGACGTTAGTTACTTAGCCTGTACTGAATCTTAGACCAAGTTGATCATTGATTTGATCAAGTGCCCTTCACTCACGTCAGACATGGTTTTCTTGGATTAATGTTACTCTATGTCCCGACATCTCTCAGCCTACAGCAGTCTCCGTTCCTCACAACTTAAAAGAGGCTCTCACTAGAACTGCCTTATGGGCGAGTCATGACAGAAATTCAGCATCATTTACTAGTACCACTAGGAGGACAACTACAATCCTAAGACAGTGCTGCTCAGCACATCAGAATCACCCATGGAGCTCAAACAAACAAACAAATAACACCCCTAACCTGCTCTGGGCTCACCCTGTGAGATGTGAAGGCACAGCTAGAGCACCTGCCTCCCCCCACCCCCCTTTAGGGCTTTATAGGCAATTCTGATGTTCACCTAATCCAGGCTGAAAACTGCTTTTCCGAGGCACAGCATCCTCGTTTCTAGAATCAGTTTTAGACTAGCAAGTATCATCATCACTAAACATCACTGTTTAGGCACAATTCAGTCAGTTCTGAGTATATCAACACTCGTTATTGAGTATTTGCTGTTTGTTAGTCACAGTACCAGGAACTGGAGATTCACAGATAGCTAAGAGGACACTGCCCTAAAAGCTCAGGCTGGGAGGGGAGACGGACGCAACTAATGTGTAACACACTACTGGAGGGTTAAGGATGAGACCATATAACCCAGTGTGCACTAGATCAGGGAAGGCTATTAACCAATTACTTCAAATGCTCTTGTTTGGGACACTTTAAAAAATCATGTAACATTTCTTTATTTGTTTACTTATTATCTGTCTTCCCCCACTGGAATATAAGCTCAACAAAGAAAGGATTCGATCATATTCAATGCTTCACATCCTCCTTCCTGGAACAGTGCAGCACTGGGCAGAGCAGCTGCTCAATATATATTATTAAATGAATAAATGATGTACAACAAGCACTCAATGAAACAAGGTCAGTTTGGAAGGCTGCTCATGGCATGCCCGAAGCTCTGTTCAGCATTTGGTAAAAGGTGCCGCTGCACAGGAGGAAGCTTGGGGCCCACAGCAAGGCGGGCCTGGGCGTGGGTGCTGTGCCACCGCCTGACGTCTGTTCATGTCTGTGAAATGGAAATGGTCACTACTTTCCAGGGTCGCTGTTAAGTTCTAAGATACTGGGTTGGCTAAGAAGTTCATTTAGATCTTTCCATACAATGGCTCTAGTAGTGCTTAGCTGTCCTTAACTTCATTCGAAATAATTTTGTTAGACTGCATTGTGACAGTTGTCATATCAGCGTGCGTTAGGAAAAAAAACTTATCAAAACTGATGAATTTGCCCTGGCTGGCGTAGCTCAGTGGATTGAGCGCGGGCTGGGAACCAAAGTGTCCCAGGTTCGATTCCCAGCCAGGGTACATGACTGGGTTGCAGGCCATAAACCCCAGCAACCGCACATTGATGTTTCTTTCCCTCTCTCTCTCTCTCTCTCTCTCCCCCCCCTCCCTCCCTTCCCTCTCTAAAAAAAAATAAATAAATAAAATATTTAAAAAAAATAAAAAATAAAATAAAAATATCACCAAATCTATTAAAAAAAAAACAAAAAAAAAACTGATGAATTTTTGTGCAGCCATTTTAATATTGAAGATGGAAGAAAATACACAACATTTTCAGCATATTATGCTTTATTATTTTATGAAAGGTAAGAATGCAACTGATACCAAAAAAAAAAAAAAGATTTGTGCAGCATATGGACAAGGTGCTGTGACTGATCAAATGTATCAGAAGTGGTTTGCAAAGTTTCTTGGTACTATTGACATTCTGGCCAAGTAATTCTTTGCTGTGGGGCTGTCTTATGCATTGGAAAATGTTTAGCAGCACCCCTGGCTTCTACTCACTAGGGGCCAATAATGGGAGATAGTCAACATACTCAAAATATCCAAATCAATAAAGTTACTGGTGAAAATGAAAAATGTGTTTGATTTTATGGAAAAAACTAAATGGACTTATAGGCCAACCCAGTAAGTAAAACGGCTAACACTGATGAGAGAATCAATTGGCAGCATCTTTCTGCAAGGTGACAGGGAGAATCTAACTAAAACTGAAAAAGTGCACATTCTCACCTTGACCAGTGTGGCTTAGTTGACTGGGTGTCATCTTACAAAGAGAAAGGTCTCTAGTTCAATTCTCTGTCAGGGCACATGCCTGTGGTTGCTGGCTGGGTCCCCAGCCAGGGGCCATACAAAAGGCAACTGATCGATGTTCCTCTCACACATCGATGTTTCTCTCCCTCTCTTTCTCCTTCCCTTTCCCTCTCTCTAAAAATAAATAAAATCTTTAAAAACGTGTATATTCTCTGACCCAGCAACGCACTTCTAGAAACCTGCTTTGTAAAAGAATCAGACACACAAAAAGATGAGTGTTTTCTCTGCAGTATTATATAAAAAAATTATAAAGTTTTTAAAATACCTGTTAGTAAGGTACTGATTAAATTATACTCTAAGTGTCCAGCACATGGCCTGAATTTAGTAGACGCTCATAGAAGGCAACACGATGTACACTAACAACACGTAACAATGCTACTGGCATGTACTGAGCACTTTATGCATCTCTTCCTCATGACAGTCCTATGAGGTCATGCTATTTCATGTGAGGAAACAGACTTAAAGAAATAAAAGTAACTTGCTCAAATATCAATGTCAACATCCTGATTGTTATAATTTTGCAAAATGTTACCATTGTGGGAAACAGGGCAAAGTATACAAGGGATCTCTCTGTATTACTTCGTTCTCTTCCTCTTTTTTATTGATTCCAAAGAGAAGGGAAGGGAGGGAAAAAGAGAGGGAGAGAAACATACATGTGAGAAACAATGACTGGCTGCTTTTTTGCATGTGCCCTGACCAGAGACCAGACCCACAACCCAGGCATGTGCCTGGAATGGGAAATGAACCCGAGACCCTTTGGTTGCAGGAAAACACCCAACCAACTGCACCACTCTGGCCAGGGCTCTGTCTTATTTCTTAAAACTTCATGTGGACCTACCACTATATGAGTAAAAATTGTAATTAAAAAAACACAACAAAAGACCACCTAATCTGCTCAGGTCTAGAACTAGAGGCTGGACTCCAAACTCACCTTCAACCGCAGCCACGGCACACGGACAACACAGGACCCTCGAACAACAGCCCAACAGGCGGCATCCCATAGTTCGCTGTCCGTCCACTCCCTCTGTAACCACTCCACACTTAACCCTCACGTCTCTTCGCCCTCAAACTTATGTCTTCATTTCTGCTTCTGCATGTTGCTAGGGCCTCTCTCTGCCTTGAGTATCTTCACTGCACTTATCTAATTCTTTAATTCCTTTTGCCTCACGTCACAAGTCCTTTCCTGACCTCCTCACATCAGCGCCACACCCCTTCCCTGGAGTACTAACTCTGGCAGTAACACTAGGGTTACCAAGTAACTTTCAGAACGGCTCACATGCTACCGGAATCCTCACATGCATCCTGTAATTTTCACTAAACCACAATCTCTCTAAATCAGGGGATGTATATAAAGTACTTGGCCCAGTGCCTGGCACACAGTAAGTACTGAATTAGCAGAAATACTTAAAAGATATTAAAAATATTAAAAACATTAGAGACCAGGCTTTGTGCAGAGCAAGCGCGCACCTGACACGAGTCAGTTCACGGAGGCCACCAGCCAACCCTGCTCCAAGCGCAACGACACCGTTTAGACCCCTTTCCCTACTCAAGACAACAGAAACCATAGAATCTTTTTAATAAAACTGTCTCCGTCACAGCAAAAATACGTATTTATAAGACTGTCGGAAAGAATAGGCTATTTCCAACATTATACCACTTGTTTATGGAGCCCCCAAGAGAACTTGATCACTCAGGAGAAAGAAATCCACTGAAGGGCTCATGAGAAAAACTTTCTGCCCACAGAGTTAGTTTCGGGCAGACTTTTCTTGAGCTGGTTGCTGGCTGACCCCAGGTGTATCAACAAAGACAGTGGCGCCTCACTGCTACTTTCATACACATACTCTAGAAACAGCTTACCCCCCTCCTCGGGGTAAAATGAGGCTTCTTAGGTTTGCAAGAATTCGGGCTGTACTCGGGCCACTTTCCGGAATTCTTTAGTGTGGGTCTTGGGGCACTGCATCTCACACCAGCTGATGGGAACCATCTGCACACCTAAAAGGGAAAAGCTGGTGTTGGAACTGGTACCTCAAACATTTGCCGGAGATCCTTCTCTTTCCGCTGGGTATGAACTGAAGTGTCACCAAGGTACCTAGTGAACCTCCGCTCATACAGAAAAAACCTTGTTTATTCCACTGACTTACAGGGAGGTAAGTAGGAGCTGTTCCCTTTTCCTTAGATTTATGTGAGGAGACTCATTCTAACCTCAGCAGTACATATCTATGTTCACATTGCTTCCTAAATAATTACAAAACAATGGAAATGAAGGAAAATAATGGATTAATTCCAAACCACAGAATTCGGGAAAAGGCAAGCATCGGAAGCATGGCCCAACTCACCCGATTCACTGTGAGCCACCACCACGCCCAGCTCATTTTCGGCCGTGGTCAGGAGGTAGTTGGACTGTGCGTCACCTAGGGAGATCTAGTCACGTAACACTGGTGAAGGAAAACGAAGGGTTATAAGTCGTCCCTCCCACAGCCACTTGAGTTGTTTCTCCACTTCCATTTCACCTTTTAACAAAGGGTCACAAGTCTGCTGGGAACAAAGGATACCACTTTGGCCAAGACAATGTCACCTGGGCGAAAACTCTTATAAATTTCAACCTGTAAAGAAAGACCAGGAGTGTTAAATGAAAGCTTTCGATTAGGTCTACAGGAAACTATGAACTGCTCTGGTGGAATCAGTCTACCTCCTAATCCCAGAGGGTGGAAGTCAACATTACTCAAGTCAACCAACAACTTTCATGCTTCTACAGCATCATCATATAAATGAAAGATTTTTTAAAAATTATATTTTTTAAAATTTTAATTTATTTATTTTTAGAGAGAGGAGAAGAGAAGGAGAAAGAGAGGGGGAGAAATATCAATGTGCAGTTGCCTCCTACGTGCCCCACAATGGGGACCTGGCCTGCAACCCAGGCATGTGCCCTGACTGGGAACTGTACCAGCGACCCTGTGGTTTGCAGCCTGTGCTCAATCCACTGAGCCACTCCAGCCAGGGCTAAATGAAAGATTTTCAATCTAGTAACCTGACCAGGAATCTGACTTGGGCAAAAGGAGGCTCTGAACAGGTCCAGAATAAGTCTGAGGAAATAATAATAAATAAATTCCAGTACAGAACACCTTCAAATTCTTTGGACTCCACATTCCTGCCAATCTTTAAAATTCATTGAAATAATTTAAAAGGATTAAGAATCCTAAAGCCAAAAAAGAAAAAAAGAACCAACCAACAACCTTGTCTTTTTCAGTAGCTCGAACATCTTCCTTGCTATAAAAAAAATTAACAGAAAGATTAATTATTTGTGAGAAAGAATTATCCTGCAGATGCCTACCAGATACGAGCTATAAGAGCAGAGATCAGGTCATAATTAGGACTCAGCTGCCACCCAGAGGAGCAAGGTGGAGAAGCATCCACAGGCCTCACAGAGGGGAGAACACCACGTTTCATATTCTTGGATCACACAGAGCAGCAGTATCAATACCTCTGGTTAGAGAAACGCTGGTAAGATTTGGCAAGAAAGGATAAGGAATTCTACTGCCTTAGGAGAGTTTGAACAGAAGCAAGATAGAACCACACAGAATCCTAAGGGTAGAAAAGGCCTCAGAAGTTAAATTAATCTGGCTCACAGGAATTGTCTGTCCCTTCTCAAAGAATCCACATAAAAAAAATCTACCATTTTATCAACTAACCTTTGGAATGTTCTACAGTCTGTGGGTTAAATCTATATCAAATTCAAGAAAGGAAGGTCCTTCCTAAAATGCTTTCTACTTTGATATGAATCATCCCACACCACTCATCTCTAGGTTAGCTCAATTCTTGTTGCTATTCTTAAGCCCTATCTCATTAATAGTTTCCTTTTGTCCCAGCTTATATATTACAGTATTTTCTTAGGACACTACCTCGGGCAAATCAAAGTACAAAGAGAAGAGAAATAAGCAAGAGGGGAATTGCAATTGTTCCTAAAAATCTCAAAGTTATTCCAGGTGCCGAGGCAAATGTGAAGAAGACAAGAATACTTCTTACCGGATAGTTCCTCGAAAAGAGTTTTTAAGTGGTGTGGACCCCACATACAGGATGTGCACTTTGGCAAAGCGTGAATTGATGCTAGAGACCTAGAGAACAGAGAAAACACCAGCATTAGAGTATCAGCAGTTGTCAGCTCAAGGAGGCAGCAATGAACTAGGAATTACCAGGACTTTAGTCCAAGCAACCTACTAAGTACCGAATTTAAGACAAGTTAACTCCTACTTATCCCTGCAGAGTGGAATTAAGAGCCATTGTAGCCAATGGAGTTACTTCAGGAGTCAAATGAAATAGCACAATACAGCTTTGGCAAAATACAGATGTCTAACATAAAGAGACACAGGGCATTATAGTAAATCTAGACCTTTAACAGATCCTACAAGGAGGCCTATAGAGTGGATGGAATTTAAGTCTACATTTCAGCTGCTGCATAATATCTGGATCACTGCCTCTCCAATTACTAAGAGCTCCAAGTTAATGTAACCTGGCAGAGGGTGGGGTGATGTGTTACAGCTACTGATCAGTACAGCATTCATTTGTATTTCCCATGAAACACCCTAATTGACTACATTTAATACTAATCAATATCTTGCTACAGTATCTTTCACTTCTCTGTATAAAAAGGCCTCACTTCATATATATTCAAATATGGGCCTACTTAGCACCCTTTGGGGCCCGTTTCCTAGATACGGGTAAAACTACATATTCAGGAAGTATGTTCTGTGAAAGAACTACACAAACCTGAATTTGGCTGCCTTGATCATTATTCTAGAAATCTCTAGACCAGCGAATTCCAGTGAAACTTTCTGTGATAAACCAGTAAGGCAACTACTAGCCACATGTGGTGTTAAGCACTTGAAATATGGCTAGCGGAACTGGTAAATAAATTTTAAATTTTAATTTACTTAAATTTAAATGACTACATGTGACTAGTGGCTACCATATTGAACAGTGTAGTTCTACAATGATTGTGGATTTCAGAACTGGATGTAGGTATCCTAAGCAGTGAGGTTAAGACCAACTTACCTTACAGGTTACAATAGCTCCCACATCTGGCAGTAACTGGGACTCTGTTTCTCTCATCACAGACACGACAGGAAGCTGCAAAGAAAACAATAAAACGTGACTATCCTGGCTAAGCCTTGGGTAAAGGTATTTGCGGCTTGAGTGTAATATAGGAATGCCATGGTCCACAGTTGAGGCCAGGAGGACTACAGATTCACTGCAGCCCAGAGCACAAAGCCTTTGAAATTTTAGAAAATAGGAGGGTCATAGGAAGAATGCTGCTAGAAGAAATAATCTAACCATTTCAGATGAGTTTTAACAAGCTTTTTGTGTGTGTGATTTTCTTATAATTTCCTGCTATACAATTTCTTACCTACAATCATGGATCATTTGACTCTTTCCTCTAATGTTATACTGCTTCTTTCTATTTCTCATTTTATTGTACAGACTAGAATATCCAAATAAATGTTACATAACAGTGGCCAGACTTGTTTACTTCTGATGAAGGGGAATACCTACAGTTTTCTTTGAGCACGATATTGGCTCTTGGTATGAGATAGATAGTATTAAAAAAAAAAAGACAGTATTTTTGAACCTCATCTTTTATTAATCTCTCCCTTGTTCACTATGCTGCAGCTCTCCTGGTCTTTTGGTTTCACCAGCTCACTAAATTTCTTCCCATCTCAGCTCTGTTCAAACTATTCTTTCTCCAGGACTGAGCTCTCCTTAGTTATCCTTTAGATTGGTTAAACGTCTCTTCCGCTGACCAAGGTGGGTTTACCCATGACGTGTTTTCACAGTACCCTGTGGTATTCTTTTAAAGCAGTCATTGCATTTGTAACCATACATTTGTTTGAACATTAATTTATTTACAGTTTGTGTCTACATCCCTTGAGAGCAGAGACCATGTGTATTTGGTTCACTGCCATATCCCTAGAAGTCAGCACTGAGTCAGGCATATAAACATTCTCAACAGCTATCTATGAAATGAACAACTTACAAATGCTAAGGACGTTCCCAAACTGAATAAAGAGTTTCTCGTTTTATGGATGAAGAAGAATCTAAAGCCAGAGAAATTGTTTCTTACCTAAAACAGAATTAAGGTCTAGTTAGCCAGTACCTAAATGTTCTAATCTTGAATCCTCTTTCTACTATGCTACCTCTCTTTAAGCTGCTCCTTCAAAGACTGCTTGTCTGATCCTCAGTTAACACGGTGTTAGGCTCTGGAACTAGGGAGCATAGTATTACTTGTGCATTCAACAAATGTTTTTTGAGCATTTACCTTGTGCTAGGCAATAAAGGTTTGGTGGTGAGGCCTGCTTTCATGAATCTTAAAAGTCTAGTAGGGGAGCATATAAGTGAACGTTTAATTATATGCTAAGATAAGTGCTTGGAAGGAAAAGAACACAGTTCCTTGTGTTTAACAAACCAAACAACAAACAGAAGCCAAAACTCCTTTCCTCAACTAGTGGGTCTAGGAGAGCTTTTCTGCGAAAGTGATACTTAGGTTATCTGAAGGATAGGTAGGAATTAAATGGTCTGCGGGGAAGATGTGTTCCAGAAAGATGGTGTGCGTATAAAGGCCCTGTGGCAGGAGAGAAGAGCTTAGCACATTAGTGACACTGAAAGAAGCCTGCATGACCAGAGGTGGGGATACGGCTGAAGGCAGAGAGGTAGGCGACATTCGGACAGGATTCGGCTCACGGAGGGCTGAGCTCGCCTCTGCTCTTCCCCAACACCCTTCCCTGACTGTCAGCAACACAACTGGTCTGTGCTGGCTAACTGCCCAGCAGCAGCGACAGCTGGAAGACGCTCAAAGACCAAGTCGTCCTAATGAGGCACTAAAGACACGCCCACAGTGCCCTTTGCCTAAGGACCGCGAAATCAAAGACAGCCTAAGAGCAGAGCAGAAACAAAGGTGGTGGAGGCCGCCCCCTTTACCGCGCCGTTCTCGCTGCTCTTTGTCACGCAGCCAGCAAGCGACGAAAAGATGTAGCCGTGCCGGGTGTAGGTGCCGCTGCCTGGGCTGCCCTCCTCCAAGTTACACAGACGTTCGCCTGCAGGAAAAAACGCTGCATCAGCCACGAGTGGCCAGAAGGTGTTGGCCATCGAGCTTCCCTGCCTGTCACTACACAGGACCGCTGTGGCCACTACTAACTCACCCGGGATGCAGTACCTCACGGGTGGCGCCATGACTGCTACTTTCCCCAGCCGGAGGAAAACGAAGCCAACTTCTTATTGGCCAAAGTCCGGATGCAGTTTCTCAATAAAAAACGCGCCCATTGGTACGCTTATTACGTGACCCTCGCCGCGCCTTTCTGAGAAGGTAAACTACACGTCCCAGGTTGCCCCGCGGCGAAGCCAGGGGCGGAGCGCCTGAAAGCCTGTAGTTGCGCTTGCGCCTGTGCTTGAGGATGGGCTGGCGGCGGGTCCGGGTCTGCAGGCTGGTTCTGTGGGCGGCGGGCCATGGTTGGTTGGATTGAGCTGCGCCGGCCTGGGGCGCTGAGCTGGAGGGGGTGGCAGTGAGCGGAGGTTGCGGGCTCGATTTGACTGATTGGGGAGTCGGCAGGAGGCAGGTAAGCGCGAAGCCGCGGCCTTTGCTTCTCAGTTCTGTCCTTTTTTCTAGGATCAGGCCCTGTTTCGGGGCCTTATGGTGAGCCCAGCTTCCAGGTTTCTTCTCGCCGAGCCCTGTACGTCTGTCTGTGCTCTCCTCTATCCAGGCGGAGTGCACCTTCCGGGCAGCCGTAACACGCGAAGCTGGAAGGAGGCCAACCAACCCATCTCGCCCATTTCACAGATTTGCAAACTCAGATCCAGAGATAAGATTTTTACTTTCCCGGTGTGTCGAAGATAGTTTAAGGTAGAGCCCAAACCGGAACCCAGGTTTTTTGACTTCCAATCCATCGCACTTTGACCGTGCCACCCTCACTGAGAAACAAAGCCTTTTCCCGGTTTTTGTTTTTGTAACTGTAACTTGCGATCTAGAGCTCACAATGGGATACTCTAAGGAGTCGTGTGAGGCCACCTGTAACTTTTTCCCTTCCCATCGTATTTGTCTGGAAGGGAAATCTCCACATGAATAAAATGCTGCTTTTACTGATGATTGACACATGCTGCTGGAGATTGCAAACATCCTGAGAGCAGGGGGTTTGTCCGGATGAGATTTGCCAAGACTTTCATCAGTTTCCTCTGCCTTCTGGTAGCTTTGAAATCCATCTTTCCCCACCCCTAAAAGTTTCCCTCTGGGAAACAGACGGTGACTTACAGCCTGGTGGGGGTGGGGGGAAGGGGAGTGCCATGGCCTGCAATCCCCTCCAACTTGGTGGCAGTTGTCACTATGGTCAGTGTCTAATACTGAGGGATCAGAGCACTTAGGGCTTGCCCTCGGGGGATAGTGAAGTTACGTTTTGCTCTGTTCCTTCCCCTGTTCACTCTGACCAGCCACTCCTCAGTCCCCTCCCCGCCCAACACAATTTTTTGAGTTCTGCTTTACCTCAATTTCCTGAGATGAAAACTCTGTATGTTCATTTGCTCTACTCTGGCTTCCCCATAGTGCTCAAACCTCATTAGATAAAATGAGTGGGGGCTCAGCTTCAGACTTTGTTCATGTAAATCTGATCTGTTGCTCTCTGTACCTACAAGCTTTCTATTGACGTTTTGGTTGATTTCTGGTTGAATTTGTTTTCTAAAATGCCTTCTAACTCTTAAATGCTATGATTTTAACAACGAGGAATTACAGCAGCAGACACTTATTCAGTGTTATCACATTGGCAGGAATGCCCTTGCTGTTATTTGTAGGACAGATAGACATCTGACCAGCCTCTCCACTTCTGCATCCCAGGTTATTCATTCAACAAGTATTTATTGAGCACTTCCATGGGCCAGGTATTGTGCTAAGAACTTTATAAACATTTCATTTGTACCTTACCAAATGTGTATATGGAATCATTAAGGGTTATAGCTAGAAGAGACCTTAGCATTTACTCCTACCTCCTCATTGAATGGGAATACAGGAAAATGGAGTTCAGGCAGGATCCAGTGATTTGCCCAAGGTCACAGAACCACTCAAGGGCCGAATTGAACCCTGAGTAGTCAAATTATGAGGCAGATTGGAGTTGGTGAATCTAGTCCTCGAAGCAGGCATTGCCTGTAGAGCTCAAGAATTTGGGAGGTGGTTGAGAACAAGCCAAAAAGTGGGGAATCCGAGTAGGAAGTTTTTTGTAGATAGGGGAGATGGCATATAATTCATGTTAATAAAGATGAGAAATGCATCTTATTTATAAGCTATTGCTGTTGTGTTTTAGCAAATAGGAAACTCTCCATTAGCCATAGTAAGGGAATGAACAGTGATGTGGACAGTGTAAGTCACTTGGATTTGTCATGGGATAAAATGCTTTGTCCCACTCTTATATTTGATTGTGGTGGCTATATATACTATTTTGAAAATTGATGCTTTAAGCGAAATCATGGTTCCAAGCAATGAGAGCCCAACTCCAAGGAGGTAGGAAGTTTGAGCTTTTCTTTTTCTCTCTTCTACGCTGCCTCTTAATTCTCTAGCTCCCAGGGGGTGGCATGGGAATGGCCATTTCTTCATCCTGGTGCAGAGAGTAGGTCCCTACTGAGTTGTCTTTCTTCTCTTTCTCTGCCTCCTTGTCTGCTGGATTTCTTTTTCCCTTAGGTCATAGGGCTTGTGGAAGGAGGTAATTAAGTGTTTGCTTTGAAAGGGCTGTTTGTGGTGATGAGCCAGGATGCAAGGGGAGTACCTTGCTTCAGTTACTGAACTGAAACCATGTCTACAGTGGAGCAGCCTCCTCCAGTTTCTGCTAGGTTTTGAGCCGCCTTGTTAAATAAGTCAGTGGAGTTGCTGAGAACAAAGTGGCTCTAGGGGGAAATCAGATAATTTCTTCTCTGGTGAGGACTTTACCATAGAATTGATGAGACTCTCATCAAATCAAAGGAATCTGTGTCTTCCGGGCATTGCCTGTGCAGCTGGCCTTCCATGGCTGTTGGATGAGGTAGAAAGCACATAGAGGAGACCAAGGCACTTGCAGAGCAGCCATGAAAAGGGCTAAAGAGCTGGGAAGGCTGGTTGGGAAGCTCCTGAGTGTTCAACTAGAACAGGCAGGGGAGACTCAACGGAAAGACAGGCCTCTGGTCTTCATGAGTCACCAGCCTGGAGGTTCCCCGCCCACTGCCAGTGTCTTCCTGCCTGTGGGGCTGTTCTCTGAATACCCGAAGTTGTCTTGGCTTCTGTATCCTTGGGCTGGGGCTGGGGCTTGCGCTGGGACTGGAATTGGAGACAAAGTGTCTTATGCCATGCAAGGGGTAGCTGAACTGTACTGACAGGAGACAGGGACTCACATGCTATCCGGTTGGGTCTGGTGGCCTGTAACCTCAGCCCAGAGGGAGCAGGAAGGATGAGTATCTTTGCCAAGATTCAGATGGCACCAGGGAAGATCCAGGTGCAGCAGGATCCACATACTGTGCACTCATCCACCACTGGCTTTCCCTTGGTGAAGAGTAGTTGTTAGGAGGTAGGTCAGTGGGCCAGGGCAGGCAAGGACGTGGGAGACCCTCTGCCTCAGAGGCCATACTCACAGAGACGCAGTAGGCAGCTTTGTGCATGTTGGCCGTGTACCACCCAGTAATCTGGCTACACAGGCTACTCCATTGACCTTGCTTTGTCTTGGAGCTGCCTGCCTCTCCTTCACCCCTTTCCCGAGGCCCTTGACTCTCGGTGTGCATCATCTTGGATTTGCTGTGTAACCATGCGGTGTAATAAGATTTCTGCCCAATTAGAGCCTCCAGACCCTATTCTCTATGGTCTGGGTTGGGACACTGGCACCCCACATTCCGTAGAGAATTGAAGTAACTTCCCTACTGCCCATAGTTGTTAACTGGCCCAGCTAGGCCTCAGTCTTAAGTCTTTGCTTCTAAGTGGGTGCTCAAGGCCTCCCCACTGGTGGGCTAGGGAGGGACAGAACCCAGGCCAGCCCCTCACAATGGTGTGCTCTCCTAGGAGCCATGCGTGGCCAGTGGAGCCTGCTGTTGGGCCCCGCCCGCCTCTGCCTGCGCCTGCTTCTGCTCCTGGGCTCTAGGCGCCGCTGTCCCCCTCTGCTCCGGGGCCTGGTGCAGCGCTGGCGCTATGGCAAGGTCTGCCTGCGCTCCCTGCTCTACAACTCCTTCGGGGGCAGTGACACTGCTGTCGATGCCGCCTTTGAGCCCATCTACTGGCTGGTGGACAACGTGATCCGCTGGTGCGGGGTGGTGAGTGATGCCCAGGGAGCAGGAAGAGGGATGTTTTGGGGTAGCAGAGGGACCCGCGCCAGCCCTACCCTGGAGATATTCCTGAGTTACTCTGGGCGTTGGCAAGCTCTCTCACTGCATCTACCTGACCTCACTGGTGTTGGCAGGTGTTCGTGGTGCTGGTGATTGTGTTGACCAGCTCTATTGTGGCCATCGCCTACCTATGTGTCCTACCCCTCATCCTCCGAACCTACTCAGTGCCACGACTCTGCTGGCATTTCTTCTATAGTCACTGGAATCTGATCCTCATCGTCTTCCATTACTACCAGGCCATCACCACTCCACCTGGATATCCACCCCAGGTGGGTCTCCACAGCTGCCGGGGGCAGGCAGAGGGCCGCTGGCCAGGGAGCCAGTCTCAGGAGTGGGGAGAGAGTGCCTTGGTATCTTTTGAGGTGTGAAGCTGGTGCTGCTACAGTTGTCAGACGCTTTCCTCTCTTTGCACAGGGCAGGAATGACATCGCAACAGTCTCTATCTGTAAGAAGTGCATCTACCCCAAGCCAGCCCGAACACACCACTGCAGTGTCTGCAACAGGTGGGTCTTGGCTTCCTTCTCTGTGAACCCGAGCTCTGGCCCTTTGGCTGTAGCCCTAGGGCAAAACCTAGACCTAGAGTTTGGTGTTTATGAAGCCCACATCACGCGCCAGACAGTGTGCCCTCTCTGTCATGACACCTGGTCCTCAGGATATCCTGTGAGTTAGGCATTATCACTGCCTGTAGAAACTGAGGTTCAGAGACATGAGTTGTTACTCAGTATCATGTAGCCAATGAAGCAGGGTTTGAAGCAAGGCCTGGCTGTCTTCAAAGTCTGTGCCTTTTCCACCTCAGCAGGATGCTGGTCCTTGTAGGAAAGGATTGGCACTGACATCTCAAGAACCTTGGCCACCGTAACAGAGCCTGTGTCCCTCCCTCACAGGTGTGTGCTGAAGATGGATCATCACTGTCGTATCCTTTTATTATCTTTTCTGCCTGAGGCTGCCTCCTTTAGCTTCAGAGCACTGCACAGGGTTAAGGGCCACAAACCTGAGGCTCCTGGCATCACCCTGCAGAGAACATTAGGCTCAGGAGAAGTTAGTGGAAGAGGAGTTGTGGGGGCTGACCGTGCCCTGGGGGAAGCAGGAAGCTTAGAGGCTCTAGAACAGATCTCCCTGGAGCAACGCGTCTACTCCAGCTGCTCTTTCTTTTCTTTTGTAGACTCGGTCATGCTAATATCTGCTGGATGGAAAGAGGTGTTTGGGCTTCAGGGGTTGCCCGTGGGGTGTCCAGATAGAACCGTGGGTTCCCTCTTTGCTGTCCTATACAGATGCCCAGTTAACCCCAGCTAGGTTGACGTATTGGCAGATTCATTTTAGTGAAGGGTTTCAATTTTCATGATTTCCTGGAGGGACTTACGAGGACTCTGAAATGCTTTAACACTTTCACCTCAACCTCTGAAAGTCCCATATTTTCCTGCCTTTGGAAAATAGTTCTTAGTGACTGGAAACCCTGGGCTTGGATCATGCCGCCATGAAGCGAGAATGAACCAGAGAGGTCTGGGCACACCCTGAAGTTGTGTGTTTGATCTTGTCCTTAATTCTGCCCCCACCAGCCTGGCTAAACAACTGTGTGGGCCACTATAACCATCGGTACTTCTTCTCTTTCTGCTTTTTCATGACTCTGGGCTGTGTCTACTGCAGCTACGGAAGCTGGGACCTTTTCCGGGAGGCTTATGCTGCCATCGAGGTGAGCCCATAGTTAGGAGCAGGGCAGCTCAGTAGAGAGCACTTGGGGTATGGAATCTGTCCCTAAGGAGTGGGGCTGGTAGCACTTTCATGCTAGAGGCCTGAGAGTATAACCAGCACTGTTTTCCATCCCCTTAGAAAATGAAACAGCTCGACAAGAACAAACTACAGGCGGTTGCCAACCAGGTGGGCCGTCCCCACCCCACAGCCTCCTGCTGCTCAGGCCAGGGGGTATAGAGTTGCTCAGGCAACTGAGGCCCACCTGGTAGAGTTGTAGAGACTGGTTGAGGGGCCACTGGAGGCTGGATCGGGGTGTTCTGGGAGGCTGTCTGCCATGGGCAGACCGAGTGGCCTGGGGCAGGCTGGAAGTCTCTGGTACATGACAGATCTTGGCTCTCTATCCCAGTATCACCTTCTGTGGGCTGAGCAAGGACTCTGCCTTGGTGATGGCCTGAGCAGTGAGGAGTCTATGTTGGTCTGTGTACTGGGGCTCCAGGGGACAGAGATGAGCCTGGGCCAGTCTGGTCACCCTTTGCTCCTGGTTTGTCTGCATCTGCATCTGGATCAACCCTTCTCCCCAGGCTTTTTGGACGACTTATTCTGAGATCTTGGACAGATGATTGTACCTCTGCTGCCCTTTCAGTCCTTAGCAGAGCTCAGTTCTCCCCCCACAGTCATTCCATTCTGGGTGTGGGTCTGGTCCCCTCTCTTGGGGATTGCAGCCACAAGGTGAAGGAGTGCTAGCTGGGGAGTGGAGTGGCTTCCCCTGGAGCCCCATTTGTGTTGTCAAATCCATAGGTCCAGGGTCGGCTCTTCCTATGCTTCGCCATCCTGTCCAGACCCGCTCCTCCCAGTGTTTGTCTACATGGTGCTCCCAGGCTCAGTCCACCCATCTGGCTGCTACCCTGACTCCTCTGTGGCTTAACCCCCTATTTTCCATCCTGGGCTTGGATCACTTCCCTGCCTGCAGGTGATGGGGGCTCTGGTGGAGACCAGCACAGCAAACGAGCCAGACTTTGTTTTCTTTTTCTAGACTTATCACCAGACCCCACCACCCACCTTCTCCTTCCGAGAAAGGGTGACTCACAAGAGTCTTGTCTACCTCTGGTTCCTGTGCAGGTATCTGACTCTCATTTTTGGCAGCATAAGGGAGGGGCAGCTTCAGAAAAACCTTTTTAGGTGCCCCCATGTGAACTTTAGTCTAACTTAGGTTGGCAAAGAGTCAGCATTTGATTTTCTTCAGCATTTTGGTACAGGGAACACTAAGGATACTGGCACTGAGTGTTTGTTATGTGCCAAGGTAAGTTCAACTCCTACCTAAATGGTAGGGAACCACGTTTTATAATGAGGAACACTGAAAATTAGAGGGTGAAGTGATTTGGTCCACAACACAGAGCTAGAAGTGAATGGTGGAGCTGGACTCTGCATTTTGTGTCATCTCATTCCAATCCCTGGTGCTTTCACTACCCTCTCCAGTCTCCCAAGTATGGGTAAGAAATACAGAACATTTTTATTAGTAACACAGACTTATTCCCCCTGCTCTCCACACAATTTATTCTTAACCCACCCTGAAGCATTTCTGTTGGTTTCCCCCCAGACACAGTGAGAGGAAAGTTCACCCGGGATGTGTAGGCTGGGAGATGAGGAAGACAGGCAGAGGTCCCCAGCTAATCAGTCGCTCAGCTTAATGTCACACACAGCCTCTAACCCTCTTTAAGCTACTCACCAATCTCTGCTGCTTTTCTTAGTTCTGTGGCACTTGCCCTGGGTGCCCTGACTGTATGGCATGCTGTTCTCATCAGTCGAGGTGAGACTAGCATCGAAAGGCACATCAACAAGAAGGAGAGACGTCGGCTGCAGGCCAAGGGCAGAGTGAGTAGGGTTGAAGGCTGGGGGTGGATCTCTGGGTGGGTAAATGAACCCGCCATCCTGTAAACAGGTCATGGTCAGTGCCAACTAGGGCAGGCATCATAAAAGGCCTGAACTTGCCTCGCCGAGCTTTGGCTTGAAAATCAGAAGGGGATTCAGTAAAAGCGGTCGGTAGAAACATGTTTTCCTTTGGTCCTAGGTTTTTAGGAATCATTACAACTATGGCTGCTTGGACAACTGGAAGTTATTCCTGGGTGTGGACACAGGAAGGTAAAGTGAAATGCCTAGGCCAGTGCTGTCCAGCTGCACTCTGACGAGAAAGGTGTTTTGTACCTGTGCCAAGACATTAGCCACTAGCCAGCCACATGTGGCTACTGAGCACCTAAAATGTGGCTAATACACCGATGAACCGTATTTCTGATTTTCTTTTTCACTAATTTAAAAAGGCACATGTGGCTAGTGGCTGCCATACTGACTGCACAGATCTAGATTGTAGGAGTAGAGGTCTTTGCTAATTTGAGCCAACGGAGTTAAGGCCGACACTATGTGGTGTAAGTAGCAGATGTGGCTTAGACATGACATAATAACATTCTAAGGAAGCGGTTTTCAAGAAGGGACTTCTAGGTAGAGAAGGTGGCCACCAATGGCCTCTCATTTGTATGGCAGTGTCTAGAGTTCAGGCCAGTAATTTCTGGGACTAAAGTAATCTATTTGTGACCAAGGTCCTAAGACAATAAATGAAGCTAGCTCCCTTCACCCAAGAGACGTGGGAAAATCATTTTTCCAATTGCGACGACAGGCAGTAATAAGGTCACCATAAGTACCTGCCCTCCTCCCTTTCCCATCCCCATTATAGTCCTGGCTATCACTGTGCATGCTGTGGCCCCCTTAAGACGTTTTGCTGAACATCTCTAAAGGCCTTCAAGACACCAGACAACCTGTTTATTGGACAAAATTAAGACTTTTGTTCCTTTGAGATTAATGCCAAGGTAGCTTCAGGGTAACCTGATGTAGCCCTGCTGAGGAATGAGGATCAGGAATCCCTAGAACTCTTGGAATTCAGACACATTTCTATCTTCTCTCGTAGGCACTGGCTTACTCGGGTGCTGTTACCTTCCAGTCACCTGCCCCACGGAAATGGAATAAACTGGGACCCCCCTCCCTGGGTGACTGCTCAGTCAGCCTCTGTGATGGCGGTGTGAGCTGGATTCTGTCAGCCACAACTTGAGCATCACCCTGCTTTCTGCATTATCTCAAGGCCTCCAAGGATAGCTTCTTGGAATCCTTGAGCAAAAAGAGCCAGTGGGCCTGCCTTAGGGTACCGTGCAGGGACATCTCAAGGACCTATCTCCTGGCCACTGCAGCAGCAAGGCACGATGTGGAAAAAATCCTAGGACTGATGTTCCTTTACTCAGGCAAACAGAAGTTCCAGCCACAGACTGGAGATTAGGCAGCTAGCAACCTTGCCGGGTGCTGACCCCAACCTCCAGCTTACAGCACTGGAGTTGGCCACCACCTCTTCCCCGTGCTGTCTGAGACAATACCTGAATGGTCGAACTGAGATTCTGCCTTCCTAACAGGGCAAAGGTACCAGGCCTGCTGCTGAGGTCACTGCCACTTCCCACATGCTGAAGGGAGCAAAAATAAAGGTATTTGATTTTTAAAGATCTATATCTGCTTACTCTTTGCCACTACTTTAGGGCAGGGAGGGGAAAGTCAGGGTCAAGGCCTAGTGGGTAGGTGTTGTGGTCATGCATCTGTGCCCTACTTGGAGGGGTCAGATGCCCTGAAGAATTTTTGGCTAATCCTTGTCATTATTGTTCTTCTAGCTTATACCATGACACTTCTGGTTATGTGCTACTGAGGCCTAAGTGGGGGCAGGGGTGGGGGAGGGAATATCTGACAGCCCCAGTATCAAAAGAAATCTTTATTCTCCAGCAGATATACATACAGGCACATCCCTGGTCCTCAGGGCCACTCTCACTTGCATTCACCCCTCAGCAGCATCTTTTTCTGACGTACAAATATGGAAGAGCTTTAAGATCCTTCTTCAAACACAAGTAGTCTCACACACAGTTACTTCACAAATCCATTAGAAATCAGGACTCCTGTTTCTCGTACAGCCGTGCAGCAAGGGCTCAGCATTTACGCTGTATCTGTGGGAAAGGCAGTCAGAGGCCAGTGGTCTCCCTGCCTTGGCAAGATGGCTCAATAGTTAGTAACTCCAGTTAGACTGTCAGACCAGTCTAGGCCAGGACTGAGGGCTCAGCTGCCAGGGCTTCCTAGCAGAAACCTGCAGATAACAATAATGTTGGCAGCATTAGCGGTGGGGCTCATTCCAATTCCCTCTCCCCAAGACCTAGCAACTCACCATTCTCCCCTGGCTGACACTGCTTCCTTGCGCACCAGTCTCTTCTTGTCATCCAGAGGTTTAGCTAAGGCTCGGATCACTTGTGGTTTGTACGGCAGCAGCTGTGGAATAAAAGGGGTTAATCTTAGCCTTCTCCAAACACAATGTTAAAAAAAAAAAAAGCCTCTTGTCTGCCTCTACAACTAATAATCTTTGTATTCTTTAGGGATTCCAGAGGATGCTAGGTGGCAGGTGACCACTCTATTGTAATGTATTCAGGCAAATCCTTGCCTATCTGTACCTTGTAGTTCATACCTCCGTCACACAGCACGGTGGCCAGTCATGCTTGACTAAAGCAAAGAGGTACTTCTCTGGCTCTTAGAAGTTTCTGGGCCAGACAGGAACGTGTGAGGTACTCACCACAGGGGTAGGCAGGCGAGTGAGCGCATGCATACACTGTAGTGCAGCAATCCGAACAGCCTGGAACATAACCATAAGGAAGTGAGTGGAGACCTGAGAAGGGGAGCTGTGGTGCCAAAGTTGCTGGGGCTTGCCCTGGCCAGGTACCTCCGTTAGAATGTTGTCCCTATAGGCCAAGGTTGCGCGTTTGATCCCCAGTCAGGGCACATACAAGAATCAACCAATGAATGCATAAATAAATGGAACTACAAGTCAATGTTTCGCTCTCCCTCCCTTTCTCTCTAAAAATCAATGAATGTTTTAAAAAGTAAAAAAAAGTTGCTGGGTGTCAACGTACCATGGAAGGGCTAGAGGTGAGGTTCAGGAACTTGGTAACAAGGGTGTCAACGTGGAGACTCATGACTTGGGGTGCTTCTAGTAGAAGAGGCTGAAGGCAGCTGAGGGTGGAGAGCTGGACCACACAGTCGGGGCAGGACAGGGCCTCCAGCAGCAAGGAAAGCAGCTACAGGGCCACAGGAATGTGGGGATGACTACATGAACGATGAGTCTGATTCTCCTCCCCTCTTTAGCCTAGCTAGGGGACAGTGGCTTGGTCCACTGCTTAGAGGCTGTGACTCCAAGGCTTACCGTGGGCAGCTCTGGCAAGAGCACTGGCTTAGGCAGCCTGTTAAGTACGTGAGACAGGCCTTTCAGGTAATTTGGCTTCACATCTGTAAAAAACGAAAAAGCTTAGGGGAGAAATTGGGCTCAGACAGCTTGGGAATTCAACTCCAATCTGAACCAAAGAAAAAGAGCAGGGCAAGAATCTGGAGGTTGAGCCCTTTAGGTATAGACCACACTACTGCTCTGAAGAAGCACTGATGAGGTCCTAAACCTGAGCAAAGGAGAGGTCTATAAATGTGGGGCCTGCCTCTTAGACTCTCCTCACCTTGGGGAGCCGCATGGAAGCCCTGGACCAAAGCAGGCACATTATCTGTGAAGAACCGCTGGCGGAACATGATCCGTACTTCAGCATGGCCTGCACGGGTCAGTACGTCAGTGCAGTCAGACATGAGCAGAGAGAAGCCATCAGCTGCTGTTGGGCCAAGTTCTGGATCACTCAGGAGGCCCATGAGCTGGAGAAAAGAGAGCCTTTGTATATCGGGAGAAGGATCTTAAATACCCAAGAAGAGTATGGCAGTCATTCCTGGGAGGATAGGATCAACAGGAAGTTTCTTCTACGTCCTAGATTCCCTTGTCTCCAGAATGGACTTACCCGGTCTGTAAGGCAGGAGCTGAGAGGATGATACCTGAGCACTAGGGCCTTTGTTACCTGTAATCAGAGAAGAGAATGGTTAAGGAATGACACTCAAACCCCAAAACCCTGAGAAGCATGCTTATGGTTCCAGGTCAAGTGGAGAAATTTTATTTAGCCAGACATAACTATCTCTGTTTCCACAGAACCCATTCCAACGCCTTACCCAGAGCAGCAGTGTGAAGGCCTGTCTACGATAGGACCCAGAGGCCAGCCCAGCCTCCACTTTGTCCACAGCCAGCTGTAGGAATTCATCCAGCTGTTGCCCTAAAAAGGAGGAAGGAGATGCTGATGTGAAGGCTACATATTTCTTTTTTAACAATAAAGGATAGAAATCATTTCAATGCAGAGCTCCCTGAGAAGCCATTAGAAAAGAACAGTATCATTTGGCTATGGGCTTTGCCCACTCAACCCGGAAACACGAGCACAAGAGCCTGGTATCTTTGTGGTACAGGGGTGCTGGCAGTTGAAAAGAGTTGTCCACTTCTAATAGAGAATGACCGCTAACAGCTCCCTACAAGGAGTAGGATGACAGGACTAGACAGAGCACTCTGCTTGTACCCCCTTATCTTATGTCCTGCAGTGCTTTACCCAACTCTGGTCTTAACTCTTGTCCCAAGGGTTGTCCCCTGGGAAGCACTATTATATGTATTATTAACAAGCTCCTTTTTAAAACACAATGAGGACTGAATTTCAAGATTTCATCAGGGAGGCTTCCAGTACCTGCAGGGTGCTTATTGAGGAGTCCTGCAAAGCACTTGGCAGCAGCGGTGGAGGAGAAGGGGCAGCCAGGGCAGCAGCTCAGCCCTAAAAGTTCCTGCATGAGTTGATTCAGCTGAGGGATTTCCACCTACAGAAAACATGGTCAGGTCACGGGCCCAGAGAACACTGGAATTCAAAGAGATACCCAGTAGAGAACAGCGGCAGGGACCAGATGGATGAGAACCACATTCTCCAGTGGGGAAAGCAGATCAACACTTAAGTCTGTGGCAAATTTCAGTCCAGCATCCACTGCCCCTTGTCAGGGTTACATGAGGGTACTCTCCCCACGTGTCCACTTACATTTCGAGGCAGGGAGCAGACAAAGGCCATAAGCAGTGCAACCAGCCTCCTCTGTCCTGAGGAGCCATCCTATGAAGGAAGAAGGGCACTATCAAGCCTATCATGCCAGCAATGGGCTTATCTGCTCTGATACCCATCCCACATTAGCCCTAGAAATTTGAAAGACAGAAATCCCAGGATTCTACCCAATCTGATCCATCAGACCCTCACCTGGAATGGCTGGAATCTGCAAGGGAAGCTGTTTTCAGGCAGAAAGGAGATGTTGCCATCCAAGAAGAGGGGCACAATGTGGGCGACACTCTGTCCAGCTAAACTAGGGGTAGAAGACTAGGTGTCACCAAGGAGCCAGGGTTGTAAAGCAGCTCTGGGGTTCCAGTTAGAGTCACCGAGTCAATGGGTCAGAGCACGATCTTTCACACATTCAACAATTAATTCAGTGCATATTAGATGCCAGCAACCATTCTAGGCCCTGGTGATAGAGTAGCAAGCCACACAGATCAAATCCTTGTTCTGGAGCTCACAATCTAGTGAGAGAACTCTGTGTATTTAAAAAATGCTCCACAGGTGATTCTTACGCACATCAGTCCATGGCTCACCCACCCCCACACTCCATGGTGCTAAAAACCCCTTACTTTGCCAGCAAAACTGACAAGACAAACAGTTGCCTCCACATTTGATTCTGGGTAGGACAGCTCAGAAGACAGCTACTTGCTGATTCTTCCAAGACTGCTATCCTCACCGGGATTAAGCTACATCCATGATTATACTCACTCAGGGCTTAAGTGGGTGGTGGCAGTGCTAATGACAGACACCATGGCAGCCAAGACCTCATCCTCCAACAGCACTTTTCTCATAACTGAGAGCTCCTCTGCAAAATCAAAGCACACGCACACAAGCACACAGCTAAGACTACGGGGGAGATGGTCAGGTCCTGTCGCCACGACTAGAGCCCAAGTCTAGTCACAACAGCAGTGGTTCCTACCCTGTCACGTACTAGTGCTGCAGACCAGAGAACCAGCAAGGCACCAGAGTGGGAGCAGTCTAACATGGGCCACAGAGAGCTCTCCAGGACTCTGCACAGTCCTTACACTGGGCAATAATGGAAAATAAGGCCAGCTAATGTGAACCTTCTTAACATCAGAAATAGTTACGTTAGCCTTTTCAGACCCCTAAAAGATAACATGGGCTTATCTTCTCATGTCCTCATTATTACAGCAGCTACAATATATCGAACTATGATACCTACACGTTACCATGTGGCCGGCTACTATGTGTTATCTTACTTATTCATTAGCAACTACCCTGTGACATAGGTATTTCTCTTTATCTCCCTCTTATAAGGAGGAAACAGAGCTGAGAAAGGCTAAATATCTTCACCCAAGTTAGTGAGTGGTAGAGTTGAAGATGAAACCCAACCAGGTCTACTTAACTCCAGAGATTTATTCTAACTAAACTAATTACATAGCAATTAAACAGGAAAAAGGTGTGCATCCTTTTGAGCATTGCTAACACTGATAGATTTTGGTCAGTTAGCACCCATTGCTTGAAGTGAAATCTTAAGCCCCTGGTGGTACAAAATGCAGTACCAGCAAAACCCCAAGGGTGGCAGTGCTGTTCAACACTAGTGGAAGGCTGAAGTCTAGAGAAGGACAGGAGGTAAGGTGGAGAAAGTTACCTGGCATGGAAGCCTGCACAGCCAAGGCAAGCAGGCAAGGTATAGTTGTCTGATGGAAATACCAGCAGCTTTCTGGGTCCAGCTGGCATTTTTCTGCCACCTGCTGGAGGCTCTGACAGACAGCAATAACTTCACTTGGTTCTGCAACCACATTCCCTGTGCGGTGAGAAAGTATTCTCTGTAAAGTTTTCCTAAAAGTACTTCTAGGTATTTCAGATAGAGCAGATGGAAAGAATAAAAGTGAGTGACCAAGAGCATCTTATTAAAGAACCAATTCATTTTATTTTGGAGGGTGTTTGTCATCTATCTTTTGGAGCTAAGACCTGCTCTATGCCAGGCCCTGCAGCAGAAGCATTCACACACATTTTTGCATTTTTCATTACTCAAGAAAGATCATTTCCCCCATTTTATAGAGGATCTGGAGACTCAACAAAACTACCAGTGGTATTTCCAGGGTCACAGAAAGTGCAAAGCCAGGAATGTAACCCAGGCCACACACTGAGTCATGTTCTTCCACTGTGGACAGTAGATCATCCACTGTTGACTAGGCCTACCACAAAGACTGGGCAATGCAAAGCAGGGAGCACAGGAACTAGGGAGGGCCCATGGTAAGCATGTGTAGGTTTGTAGTGACAATTGCCGCAGTCACTTATGCCTTGGAACATATGACAGTCTCAAACTAGAGAGTGTGTATGAGTTACCCAGAGATCCTGTTAAAATGCAGATTCTCATCAGTAAGGCCCAAGATTCTGCACATCTAACAAGCTCTCAAATGATGCCCATGCTGTTGGTTCATGGACTACATTTTGAGAAGCATGGCCTTAGAGTGGTACTTTTCAAATCTGGCTCCACATGAAAATCACTGGGCACTCTTAATAATTACTGTTGCCCAAGTCCCATCCTTCTTTACAGACTGATTTAGTTGGATGGAATGAGGCCCAGGCAGTATTTTATTTTGAGAGTTCCCACATGATTCTTCTGTGCAGCCACCACTAGAATTACTGCCTTAGAGGCATCAACTCCAAACTTGACCACAGCTCCCCATTCAGCCCAGCTCCTCGACGTCCAGTCCTGGTAGTTACCTTTGTTCATCTGGCACAGATGCTGCAGCAGCAGCGGCAGGGTCTTCTTGACAATGCTGGGATGGGTTGATACAGCTGACAAGGCTTGTAGACAGCGCAGGTGCCGGGAGCATTTGGTGGGCCCATCCCCTTTAGCCAAATCCAACTCCCCTGAAAGCAACCCAGGAGACAAGATTTCACTGGGTGATGACAAGCATGAAGGACCTTAAGCCTCCTTGGGAAGAGGTGGGTCATAGAAGATGAGAGACACATACCCACGCACAGCTCTTCAGCAAGCTTGGGCACTAGGTGGCTGCTGAAGGCCATAGGGTAAAGAGTGGCCAGGGTTCCTGATGCTTCCAGTGCTGCTGCCCTGCTGGGAGCACAGGGCAGATGAACATTTAGCTGAGCCCACCTTGCTGAAGAGCAGGGCTCAAGTACCTGGACAGGGCTTCTTAATGCCCAGGAAAAGAGAACAGTCCCACATCTCCAAGCACCTGGCAGCCAGAGCCAAGCACAAGGCCCACTGCCCCCAGGGAAAGCCACGGGTCGGAAGTCTCGCTCTTTGGATTCTCACCAACTCTGGGAATCCTCCTCTAGGAAGCTCAGTCTGTAGAGGTGCCCCACTGCCAGCTCCAAGTCCCCAGGAGACAGGAGACCTGTGTCAGAAGGGAACACGAACCACATCTTTTTTTCCCTACAGACCCACAACTTTCCAGAAGTTCCACTAGACATCCCAAGTCAACCAGGGTTTTAGTGAGAACAAGGGAATTAAGACTTCTTTTCACTTAAGACAGAAAATCACAAGAAAGGGACCTTCTCTTTTGTCTCTCTCTTAAGTGTACCTGGCTGGGCACCCAAGACAGTGAGAGTACGGATGCCAACAAGCTGAAGCTGGGCGTTGGGGTCTGTCAGGGCCGTGAACACCAGTGAGCATAGCTGGTCCTTCAAGCCACTCAGAGGCTTTTCACCTGGGAAGAGACAGTCCAGGTCAGAGAGAAGCCCAGACTCAGCAGTGATGTTAAAGACAATTCAGGGCAGATTTAAAAAGCTTAATCCATTGAATGTCCAAGAAGTACACTGGGACGAAAATAAACAGGACCATCCATTAAGTGTTGTTGTTGTTGTTGTTTTAATGCTAAAACCTCAGAACGACAGGACCATTGTTCTAGACCACTTATCCATGGTACTCTTTGCCTGCTCTGGAAGGTGACCTCACCCTTGTCTTCATAGCTCCATTTCTGTTGTAGCTTCAAGAAACCCAGGATCATTTCAAGGATGGTCCGCCGCTGGTTGCTCTGTAATGTTTTAAGGGATGTTAGAATCAAAGAATACAGGGCGGGGCAAAAGTAGATTTACAGTTGTGAGTACACATGACAGTTCATTCTTGTATTATTATTTATTAATTATTGTATTCTATACGAACAATTATAAATCTACTTCAAAAAAAGATTTTATTTATTTTTAGAGGGGGCAGGGAG